AAAAAAAAAAAAAAGAAACTAGGCCAAAATAAAGCTAAAAGTAAAAAAAGAAAAATCAGACAGAAATAGGGGGATAACATTTAATTATTACCAAAAGAAGCAATAATGTTTGTTACTATTGTTATCCAAAACTGGTGCAACATGCATAAACAAAAGTGGAACATAAGGATCTTTTCAAAGTTATTTGGAAAAGAGTGGTTGGCATTTTGCACCAAAGGATGCTCCTTTTTCTTTGCTGTGGCAGAAGAAGACACAGAATAAACTGTTGTGGTTTGAAATTCCAAGTATATATGGGGAGAGATTGGGATCCCTTTCCCCCCCCTACTGGCTACTGCCCTTTTCATTAGGGTGTTTAGGCATGTCACATTGAGACAAATGTTTTCCAAGTCATTGGCATGTTCAACTCACCTTTTCCTCCATGTCTACTTCCCACTTGGTTCCTTTGTTGCTATCATCAACGGGATTTCATTTCATCCAATACTTTTTGAATCAAAAAGAATCGATATACATATTTACGCTATCGAATCAATAAAAATGGGTACATATACTCTATGTTATCGCGTAAAAGAAGAAGAAGAAATGTTTTTCCATCTTTGCATATGAGTGCAATGGGTAGTAAGTAATTAGCTAGGGTAGCTAGGTCCATTTGAGGGAAAAATACCTTTGGAAATGTCTGCATTCAAGCATGCATGGCAGCATGGGATATGCTACCAAAAAAAAAAAAAAAAAGCCTGATTTGGAGGTGCTTTTTAAGTTTCTAAGTTACTAAACCTTTTATACCGAATATGGCAAAGCATGCATGGCTTGATGTTTCTTAAGCTAGAAATGGACAGTTCTATAAAAGGCTAAACAATAAATGAATAAACAATGTTGGGATTGACTCTTGACTCTCATGCATGCAACCGAAAGTTTTATAATGTTGGGATTGACTCTTGAATCTCATGCATGCAACCGAAAGTTTTCTCCTTTTGTTTGCAGAGGGGATTGATGGATGTTGGTTACTTAAAAACATTCTAGCTTTTTTTTTTTTTTTTTTTTCCAAAGAAGGTTGTATAAATATATTGCCCAAGTTTCTTTTGACTGAATTTTGTTTTTTCATGGAAAAAGTGATCATGGAAAATATACTGCATCCATGCATTTCTTTTCCTTTATGGACTTAGACTTTCATAAAGATTAGGATACATAAACCTAAAATTGATTACATGTTGAAATTAAGTTCATAATTTTAGGGGCGTAACCAGGGGGGCTGACCCCTTTATATACCATTGTAGCAAATATCCCACCAAAAATAATATTTGGTCTCCTCCTTCCTAGTAAAAATATTATTTGACCTCTTTTTTCTCATATTTCTAACTTTACCTTTGCATAATTTAATCTCACTTTCTCAATTTTGAATCTCAAAGGTTTTACCAATATTTTGAATAGGTTTTGCCGGACCGAATTCTATTACTTTGAAAAGAAATTTAATTAATTTTAATTATTTTTTGGGATTTTTGCAAAGGATTTGATGTAAGTGCAAAAGAGAAGGAAACAATTGTGATTTGCATAATTAGGTTCGAGAAGTGTAGTTTATGAACAAATGCATGATATATTATTAGAGATATACAATTGAGGAAAAAAGTTCATAAAGATTCTATGACCCCCCCCATAATCCATAACTAAACCCGTTCACGTAGATTTTTTATTTGACGACGACTGCTCTTCGGGAGTTCGTTTTAGTCAAACTTTATCATAATCTTTAATTAACATGAAATTATTAGATGGTTTTTAAGTTCAATGTATGTCCCCCTTTTTTGAAACACATTTGCTCCTCAAAGATGGTTATAGTAAATAAATATATCATGATCAATCCTCACTTACACTCAACATCTTACAATCGTCCATTATTCTATTTTGTGGATACTAAAATTCTTGGACGGTTATGATAGAATGAACGAAATCGAGAATTGGAATTTTTTTTATACAAGCAGAAGCATTATGACTAGAAGTTAAGATCTCTATCCATGTTTAGTTTTATTCTTATCTTACCACTTGATTAGTCTTTAAATAAAAATAACATAATTGGGAATTCAAATTGAATTCATTTCAATTACTAAGAGCATATCAAAGAAATCATTTCCTATAAAATTTGCTTAATAGTAGTTTTGGGGTTTGATAACATTGGAGATCAAATCTTTAAAAAAAAAAAAAAATTAAAGATCAAAAGATACGTGAGCATGCAAGAATCATGATCCTAAAACTTTGTAGTCACTCCTCACATGGCAAGAATTATGCAGTTTATCCTCGTATATTAAGGGAATATGGGAACCCTTTTTGAGGGATAGATTTGAGTACGTTTGGTTTGCAAGAAAAAGATTTTTAAATGTAATTGTAGGAAGTGGATTCTAATCATAAACGTCATCCCAGTTTCCAAAATGACGGCCATTGCTGTGGTCCAAGGTCATCAAACATTTGCCTTGGCTGCAGCTATATTTATTTTCTTATATCCTCCATTTGTATAGCTTTCATTTCATGTCTGCTTCCGCAAACATTATAATTCATATGAAGCTTTTGAAGAAAAGTGAGATTCCCAAATCAGTGGCCAGGTGAACAATTTCTGGTATAATTCCATTTGGACAACATCATAGTAATTTTTAATACAATACTATAGTTTAAGTAATATATAGGGTTTTAGCTTATAAATGACACTTTAAGTTAAAAACTGAAATAATTTTATTCAACTCCTACATTGTTGGTCAAAGACATAATTCAGATGCCATTGGAATTCCAAATTTTAATGCTTTTCTTTTTTTATTTGCCTTCACAACTCTTTACTCATTGCCTTATCCAACACTAATTGCTTCCCACCTTCCATTGAAAACCTTGCAATAGAGTAATGCTGGCAGTGTGTGGGGCCTTTGTTGGCTCCTATCCTTGAAGCTAGCATCCACTTCTTCAAATGCAAAGTGTTATATATTCTCATCCATTATAGAAAAACTTCCAGTAGCTAGTTTTTCCACCATGTTATGATGATAAAACAGCAAATGCTTAAAGCATGCTTGGCTATCACAATTGGTAGTTTACAAACCTCTACTTTTGACTCGTGGCTATTCCTTTCAATTTCTACTGATATTTGGTTCTCTCATAAATATGGAATTACCCCAACTTTCATGGCCACACCGGTTGGAGAAATACCAAATGTTACTTACGCTATTTATTCGAATGGAACTTTTCATTTATTTCATATATTCGTATCTAACACATATCCAACAATCATAAATCATGTAAAATTTCAACCTTTTAAATATATGAAAAAAATTGAACATACCCGTATTAAAAGCGTATTATTAATATCCAGCACTCACTCTAATATGGTATAAAACAACACCCTATTACCCTCTTAATAAGTTGTTTAATTATCAATTTCTATTTGCATTTTGAAAAGAAGAATTAGGAGAGAAAAGAAAGGGTTTTGTAATAACATTTCTCAAAAGGATATATTTGTTTGGAATTAAATTATTTATTAGGGTAGTTATTAGTTTTGATTTTTCTTCCTAAATTTTATTTTGTGACCCAAGAAGCATTTTTGGGTAGGCCACTAAGAACAGGTAGGCCTATGTCTGCCGACTCCAAATTTTTATTTTGCTATTAGTGACGAGTGACGACAAGGTGGATCCATGCCTAAAAGCAATTTAAGCTATAATATTAAAAAAAAAAAAAGAAAATTAAATTTGAGAAAAACGATTGTCAGAACAGAGAAATATGGAACTGCAGTCTGACTATGTTTTGGGGTCCGCGCCCATTGTCATCTCCCCTTTCACTGATACTGTCCTCCTTTTGGTTGCTATTCTATGTTCCATGCTCATCAGTTTGTCTATCTCTGCCCCTCTGCCTTTCAGACAGTACTTCATGTTTATAATAAACCCTAGCTCGAAACACAAGAACCAGCAAGAACAACAACAACAACATCATCATCATCATCAAAATTTAATTGCATAACTTAACTGGCCTCAATCATCTTCTTTTTTCTTTTAATTAACTTTTTTCCACTCCTCTCAATTGAATTCTCTGCTTAATTTTTCTTCCTACACAAATTTTTTCTAGGATTCCTCATCTTTTTGCTTAAAAAACATGATGACCAGTTGAGGATATCCCATGTCCATGTGAATTAATTCAAAGGCATGCATAAAATAAGATGAAAAATGATATTGAAATTCAAGTAATGTCCACATTTTTTTTAGCCTTAGTTGGAAAGCTACCCCATTCCACTCAGACTTTGATATACAACCCATCATTCCTTTCCGCAATCCACATTAGAAAAAAAAATGTGAAAAAGCTAACCAGGCTTGCTTTCAATCAATTTTATAGTTATAAAACAAATAAACCTTAGAAAAAAGAATTGGATAAAAAATGGCTTAAAGGGTAGTTTTCCATTGAAGCTTTTTCATATTTTTTCCCTCTTTGTTTTGATTAATTTGAAGAAAGTTGCCACTCATTCATTGCAAAAAGAAAACCCAAGTAAGGACAAATGGAATATATGTTGAAGCAATAAAATATTTAACCTAGAAATTAAAGATTAATATAGGCTTCTGATTACTGATCAGTTCAGACATGATATCATGAAAACTTAAACTTTGTTAAGTTAATATAATATATCAGTTCTCTTAGACTTCAAGTCAAAGGCAATGGAGTTCAAAAGCTGTAAATCATTAACCTCACAAATATTTTGTCTTTTGGTGGATATTTGAAACTGATCTAAAAAGCCTGCAATTAAATGTATAAACAAATGTTAGCAGATGCAATATGCAAATGTGCACTCATTTAACAAAGTGATCCAGAATCATACTTATTTCTTCAATACTTGAAAGTAAACTCTACTTTGTCATTATCAATTTTTAGTGATTCTTCTATCCTTGTGAAAATTAGATCTTTTTCTTTTTGACAGAAAACCCAGAGGCAGATAGGTTGGTTCAACCCCATCCACGGCAAGAATTCGAAAAAAAAAAAAAGTGGGGGAAATTTTGAACTTTGCATTGTAATCATCCAAGGGTTATGGACAATGAGCAGGACCCGAAACCAAAATGGAAGGCTAAGTTGGATCTCTCTATGGGCCTAGGGTTTAAACTTTGGCCCCATATAGGGGCTAACCTAAGACCCATTTTTGTGGGTTTGGTCTTTGAGCAGCCACTGGGTCATTCAAGAAAGACATGTCCTTCTCCCAATCTAAAAAGCCTAGCGCACCAGTACACCTCCAAGTCTATAGCCCTTTCCAAAAGATCGTATGCCTCAACAGGAATGCAAGAGTTCTGTAGAGAACAGGAAAACAGAAAGGAAACCAACATATCTTTGTCCCTGTCAGTCACATGAACAGGCAGTTACTACTGCAAGAGAGAGCATAGATAGTGGACATCAGCAAAGCCATCCAAGTTCCAAACCATATGGATTGAGCGCCATTATCGCCAGAAGTTTTCACTTCTGACATGGATCTAACCAAGTCCAGTATAGGACATCCTCGACAATAACGAAACAAAAGTTGATGCATTGGCACAATCGATGAACCTCTCAAATAAAGAATGACTCATTCACACATCTCTACAACCCAGCAAAATGAATAAGAACCCCTCGAAATTCATATTGCTCTTATAAATCCAAACATCTATAAATTTTGGAATCTAGGACCAGGTTTTGCTTTAAGTGCGATTCATCCAACAAGCTTAGGCCTTCTTCCAGCTCAAGATATACAGGGAGCAAAACAAGTCAATAATTTTGAAGCGACTCTTATCAAATGAAGCAAAACATTAGGCTTAGATGTTAGTTACTGAATCATGATACTTAAAACATATAACGAGAATATTTCAATGAATATTATCAGCTCATTATAGGCTCTTTCTAGTCTAAGCGCAGACAATGAAAAGTGCAGCTGGTACAAGAAGGATGTTTGCAGATTCCCAGGAACGGCAAGAGGCTGCAGCCGCCAGTTTCCAGCTGCACATTCTAGGTGTCCCTGAAAAAACGAGAACGGCAAATCTTAACAATGCAGTCCAATCAAAACTTAAATTGATATAAGCAATGAACATTTAATTGAAAACCAATGTTATATATAGATAATGACTAGAGACTAGAGAAAGAAAAAAAAAAAAAACATAAGGCAATTGAGCTTAAAATATATTTGTGTAATGCATCTTCAACCTAAAATGTGTGGATATGTCAGATGAGACAAAGGTCAAGAAGTAAGTTCATGTGCTTTAGCTTAGTAAACCGAATATCACTAAGAACATGATGAAATGTAAAATATGAAGATTGATAAGGGAAGTTACATCAAATTAATGATAACAAAAGTATATTATTGACCAAATGTGGCGCCTGGCAAAAATTTTTATAACAAAAAATCAATCAAATGTCCAAAGATTAAAACTCGTATCCAAAGAATTTTAGCGGTACCAGTAGGAAACATTCACACTCAAAATTGACGCCTTGGCCTAGACTCTGCCACAGTGACTCGAATTGGTCTGCCATCCAAATCCTGCACCACACAAAATTTTAAAGTAATTCACAATCATTAATGGACTTATTGGATCACCGGAAGTAGCAGTTTTGTTCAAAATCATGCACATGAATATCTATAGGTTACCAGCATAGAATGACAGAAACATGAATGATACTGAAAGTATAAATTAGCCAAATAACCTATCTTACATGTTCTATCACTTCAGATCCATTATACAGTAATTGATTATAAATTGCTATAGACATTCACACATAAAAAATAAAGGCAATGATCAACTTACAACACCATTCAAGGATTTAATGGCACTGTCCACCTCTTCAGCAGAATTGTAAGTTACAAAGCCAAAACCCCTTGATCTGCCACTTTCCCTGTCATAAATGACTTTTGCTTCCACAACACTGCCTTGCTTGGCGAACAAGGTCTCAAGTGCTAAATCATCAACACCCCATGAAAGGTTACCAACATAGACACGATTTGAAGCACCCATAGTTGCAGCAACTCTTGCCCCTCTGGGAGAAGAAGCACGCATAGTTGCAGCATCTCTTGCCCCTCTAGGAGAAAATTCTCCCCTACGAGGAGGAGGAGGTCCAGAGTTTACCCTCAATGCCCTCCCTTCCAATTCCTGCAACCAGTAAGTACAAACAGAAGAAATTTTATGATAATCTGAATACAAACTACTGATAAAAATTATAGACTCATTACGACTTAATTACTTTTATGGGGGCATTAGCTATTAATACAGTCAAAACTTAAGCACACTTGCCATTGCAAACACCCCTGTTCCCATCCACTATGCTGCAAAAGAGAATGTGGATCAAAATAGAAGAAAGAAAGAATAAAGCTATTTAATTCAGATGTTGATTAAACTCATTTGCAATGGTAGGTTTCAAAGCCTGGACAAGACATCAGCCCTAAAACTTTTCTAATAATTACAAATAAGAAAATAGTAATTGATACATACTCTAAACTAAAAAAGGGTTCACATTTGTTTGAATCGACATGTAAACAAAGCAAATCTAAATAGGAAATGTGCAAAATATAAGTTAATAGCATATGACCCCAAAAAATGACTTACATAGCCATTGAACTGTTGAGCAGCAGCTTCAACTTCCTTCATTGTGGACATGGTTACAAAACCAAATCCCCTACTTCTCCCAGTTGCCTTGTCATATATCACCTGCCAAAAGCAACAATATCACCACTTCAAACGGAGTGACATTTTGTTTCTTAACGCCGCAGATGATTAAAGTGAAGCAATAAGGTCGATATTGCTGTAATCCAAATCAATGCTCAATTAAATCACCAAAGGACAAGTTATATCATAACCCTTCAATTAGTTAAATGTCTTTTCAAAACTCAAAATTCATCTCAAAATATATTTTTTTAAAAAAGCAAAACTTTTCCATACTATAATTTATCAGTTAAGCAATAAGGTCTATATTGCTTTAATTAAAATAAATGCTTAATTGAACTACCAAAGGACAAGCATTTCTCTCAAGTTTCATACTTTAAATCATGACTATCCTTCAATTAGCTAACTATCTATTTCAACATTTAGCAACCAATTTCCAAAATATAAAGAAAATAAAACTCTTTGAGAAAAGTAAACTTGGAAAATTACTAGTAAAAAAAGTAAAACTAAAGTACCTCAACCATCTCAACATTTCCAGCACTTCCAAACAAATCAGCAAGCTGGGCACTATCCACACTAAAAGGAAGATTACCCACAAAAAGTTGCAACTCAGGGGAGAAACTAGGAGCCCCTTCTCCGTCATCACCCCCGAATAGCTCTTCTTCCTGACCATAATCAGAAGAAACGGCAACGTTTCTAACAAACTTAGAAGCAGAAGAAGAGGACTTTTTGGTTAAAAGCCCGAAACTTTGAAGAGCAGAACAGAAGAGAGGCTTTGCATGGAGCTTGTGGGAAAGAGAGAAGAGAGAAAGTGAAATGGGTCTTGGGTTGGATAAAGAAAAGGTTTTGAGTTTGAGAGATGGAAGTATGAGAGATGAGGCAGATGTTGCAGACATGGCTTCTTTTCTTTTTAGCTTTTGTTTCTGCTTTGCCCAAAAGATAAGGTTTTTGAACTGGAAGAGAGCTGTTAAGAAGACGAGCTTAGGTTAGATATTTATACAAGGAGGAAAGGGGAAAAAAAAAACGATTTTTGGGGGAAGAGGTTTGCCTTGCCATTCCGCCCGACTCAGAATTACATGCTATGAGATCTGGGCCATGGGATTTTGTTGATAAGAAATAGCTTAGGGTAGATATTTTTCCTAACAGAAAGTTTTGGACTTTAGTTATGGCTACCCTTTCTCGTCCTGTTTTTCCTTGTCTTGGTTGGTTCATTTCTTTAGGGCCTGAGCCCTGAATCCCCAACAACAAGGTTACAGTTTCAGTTGAAATAGGCTTTGTCTTGTCTTTATTTTTTTAATTTCCGATTGAGATGGGTCAGCCAACTTATTTATGGGTTAAGGACTGGCTTCCTGCACTTCTGGCCTATCCAAGGTCTTCTGAAGATTGTTGTTCATGTCTTAAATTTTCATTTTTCATAAAAAAAAGTACAACAATGTTTTCTCTAATGAAATTTCAAATTTATTATAATAGGAATATAATATAATATTTTTTAATAATTACAAAATATAATAAATTAAAATTTCAAATAATTAAAATTTTTGAGAAAATATAGATATTTTTAATCAATTAAATTTTTATTAAAAAAATTTGAATACAAATCTCATAGAGATAATATATAAACTTAAACACAATTTTCAAATAATTTAACAATTAAATATTAATTAATTTATGAAAAATTTTTAAAAATAATTTTTTTATTTTTTTTGCTTTTCTATGTAGAATAAATAAAGGGGGCATATATAGGACATGAGTAGTGTGGAGACATGGACGTGGATGAATACATACTTACCTGGCTGAAAGGCTAAAACACAGCCCACAGCCTTCATTTTCTAGTCATTGGTGTGCTGCCGACGATGATTGTTCATTGACTTCCACCGGTCTCCAGATTTCTGTGTTTAAAAGAATAGCCCTTCTTCCATTGAAGTATAGTTACTCTTTGCAAGATGGGTTATGTTGCAGTGATATATCTTTTCCATTGATCTTGCTCATCTTGATCTTACCCTTAGCATTTTTTATCGAGTTTTATTTTTTTAATTCAAGCTTGACTCAAGATAAAAATTGAATTATTCGAGTTTGTTGGATTAAGTTCAATTAACATGTAAAAATAAATTCGATTATTATATTTGATAAAAGTTTGATTATTTATATTTGTACTTAAACTTGAATTCGATATATTTATTCAATTAAAATAATTAAAATATATTAAAATATAAAAATTTAATTAGATTCGCGAATAACTCAAATTGGATATAAACATACTTGAACTCGGTTCGATCGATAAATCAAGCTATTCGAATTCGAACTCAACTCGATAATAATCGAGTCAAATTTGAGTTTTATTCGAATCGAACCTAAATAACTTATTAGTATTAATGTGAAAGACCTCTCCTATATTTTGAGCCACCTGCACCACCAGTTTCAGCTTCAGCCTCGCCTCCACCACCCCCCACAAGGAAATCATCCGAGTTCTAGAGTTGCAGGAAGTTTGGCTTTGTATAATAATAGTAACATTTTGGGTTTCGTATTACTTTGCTTAATATTTGATTAGTTCTGCAAAACTTCAGCTTCATTGTATATGATTCTTTGTTTCCTTTGAATAATAATATTTTTAAGCATTTCGAATGAAAATCAATTGTTTGATTCTGCAACATTTTTGTTTTCTTTTCTTCATTTTGAGTCTGAAGTCTGAAGCATTTTATGATGAGATCATGAACAAGAAAAAAAGAAAACAGCATGAACCAGACATAGTGAAATAACCGAGCAGAAAGAGACCAAAAGAACACGAAGTTGTACAAACGAACTTGAGCAATATGATCCATTGTTGGTAGTTTAGAATATAGTTCATTTTATATTAAATAGAAAGATTTAATTATTAATAAGTAAAGTTAATTTTTGTATTAATTTTATTTATATTTTAAATAATTATGTTTGAACAGAAATAATTATCATATGACAAATGATTATAATTATTCGAATATAAATACATTATTATTCATAAAGGTCATGATTATATAAAATATTATAACTATGTGAATAAATGTTTATGTTTATTTATTTATTATAAATAAAATTTTTAGTATAATCATTTTTACTATTTTTGATTGAAAAATTTGAGATTTTATTGTATTCTAAAGGCATAATTACCTTTAAAAAAGTATTTTCACGCCTTAAAGTTAAAATTCTTTTATATTATTTCTCTTCTCTTTTTTTTTTTAACAATTTGAAGGCAATTATGAAAAATTTATATTTTGTATGAGAAAGATAAAAGGAAAAGAATTTGGCATGATTTGGAGATCAATATTAGATAAGGCTTAAGGTGTCAAATGATTAATATTTTCATGAATCAAAATATTAATTTTCATAAAGATCTTTATTAGAAGTATGTATTTTATTTTTTACATAATTGTTGATAAAAAGATTGATTGAATAAGATAAACAGTTAACAATTAATTTTATTAGTATGTAAAGTCAAAATACAATATGTAAAATATTGACGATATAGTATAAGTTTATGCATACATTGAAATTGGCTCCACAATTGGGTTTAATAAATTGTATTATATTTATCTAAACAATCAATGATTATAAAGACAGATGGATAATAGCCTGAAAAAATAAAAAAGAAAGACATGAATTGATCGATGATCAAAAGAATTATTACTCATTATCAAGTAACAAATTAAATTGGGTTCAAATGAAATGGTCGATTGTTTAATTATCATGTTTTGTTATATATAGAACAAGTAAATTGTTTCATAGTTTTTATGAAAACAATAGAAAATGGGTAAAATAATTTGTCGTAACAATTTTATGTCCGCCCGACGAATTTGGAAATGAAATAAAAAAATAACGGAGTCGCCACCAATCTTTTTTTGGCTAGGTGTGATTGGTCACTTATTAAAACATATACTTTTAATGAAATCTTAAAATTTATTAAAAGGATAATTTTAGGGTCTGCGCAATAGTCTGGGTTCGGAAGACGGTTACGTGTAGGGAAAGATTAGCACCTCCACAACGTCTGTTTAAAACGATACCAATTAACTATATATTATCCATTGATTTCAATAAAAACAGTCTTATTTTCGGTGTTTGAAAAATAATTTTCTAAATAATTTCTTTGATTTTTCATTTATTAGAAATTATTTTTTTAATGTATTTTTTAGTGCTCAAATTTTATTCAAAATAAATTAGAACCCTTTTATCAAAATAATTCTTAAAATGTTTCAGTACGTTGGTAACATTAGAAGAATTTTTTCTCATATAGAGATTTCTTAGGCATCGCTTCTCGGAATACTTTAGAATCTTATTATCGAAAGCTTAAATTTACTTTTTGTAAAAAATCTCTGTTGTGCATGCAATGTAGAATGTTACCATATATTTTATTCTCTTTTTTTAGAAATTTTATTAATTATTATTTTTAATTTAAATTTTTTAAGAAAAAAAATTTTATTATATTAAAGTTTTTCTATAAATATTTCAATACACTAGTAATATTTTTAAAAAATCTTCTCACCTAGGGATTTCATAAAGCATCACTACTCGAAATACTTTTTGAATCTCACTATTGGATAAAAATTTTCTTTTCTTACATTTTTATTATTTTTAAATTATTTAAGGTTTATTTTAAAAATTAACAAAATTATAAAAAAAATTTTAACTACATATTTCATCATTTAATCTAATAATTATAAATATTTAATATGTATAAATATTAATAAAATAATATATAAAAAAAAAAAAAATTTTTATCTGAATCGAATCGATTAATGATCTAGTCAATGTTGGTCCGGTTGGATCTGCGGCTCGATCCGATTGGGTTCGATTTGACAATTCGACTGGACCGATCATAGGCTGAAGGAGACGTGGGTCACCGGGTAGGTTACGCGGACCCCGAGTCGGGTAGGTGGGTTGACGAGTGGATCCTGGGTACCTAAAACAGCGTCGTTTTGGGCCTTTATTGAAACAACGTCATTTTCATTTTGACAGTTTATATAAAAGGTCCCAAATTTTTTTTTGGTCATTTTTCTTTCTAAAAAAAAGAAAACCTCTTTTCTTCCCTCTCAGCCCAAACGCATAGGGGGTCGGCCAATCAGTGTTCGACCGCCATCACTGCCGCTTTGATCGCTATTGATGGTCACCAATCGATAGCCGAAAAATATCCAAAAACACCAAAACGTTCCCTTCAACCCCTCTTATCGGATCCAAACTCTTTTTCACAAAAAATAGCCTCGATCAACATAGATCGGGGTTTAAAGTTTCGATCTCTTTTTTAAAAAAAAAAAAAAAACTAAAACTAACTATTTTTTATTTTTGCAGGTCTTGTTACGATCGCTTGGTGATTTTGCTGGGAAAAAGTCATTTGTTTTCAAGAGCCAAGCCAAAATTAACTATGTGTTATCCTTAAATTTTGATTTAAACAGTCTTAATCGGTTTCTTAGATTTTTATTTTTCACTTTTAACAAAAAAGTCAAGAAAAAAAAATAAATTGAAAGCAAAAAGAAAAAAATTTCCCTCACGTTTCTTTTACTATGCCTCTTATGCTTTATTTTTCTATATATTTTACTCTCAATAAATTAAGATATACTTGCACACACAATGACACAATGCATCCATGCATGAGCTCTATACCCGGGCTTCGTCCCTTATAAAAGAAAGTAGAGTACCTATGCCCTTGTGAGGTGATAACCTCCATAATGGCAAGCATAATATTTTCACTTAAATTGAACCTTTTTTCGTTTGTAACCTGTAATGGGTGAAGATCGGGGTCCTTCACTAGTCCAGCGTGGATGACAATTAAAAATAATTTGAGAACCTTTAGACACGTGTCAATCCAAACCTAGCATGTAATAAGCCTAGGAAACTAGTCTTAGGTAAAGCCTTGTTTACCTCCTTATAGGAAATACTTAAGAATAAAAGTTGTGTGTAATATAAAACAAAACAAAAAAAAAACTTAAAACAAAAAAAATATTTTTTCTCAAACCATATCCTTACACTAACTCAATTTTGTTTCATTTTTTTTCTTTTTGCATTAATCATATCATACAGTTCTCCATCAAGATATTTGCTTTAGGATATATTTCTTTCAAGAAGTTTTTATGGATCC